CGTGGAGAACTACGAAAGCCATTATGCAGATGATACAAGTGTTCATCAACAGCTGTCTACGCAAAATACTTCGGATCCGATGGCCAGACACTATCAGCAATAAGTTACTGTGGGAGACAACAAACCAGATTCCAGCGGAGGAAGAAATCAGGAAGAAGCGCTGGAGGTGGATTGGGCACACTTTGAGGAAATCAGCTAATTGCGTCACAAGACAAGCCCTCACATGGAATCCTGAAGGTCGAAGGAGAAGAGGAAGACCAAAGAACACATTACGCCGAGAAATAGAGACAGACATGAGAAGAATGAACAAGAACTGGAAAGAACTAGAAAAGAAGTCCCAGGACAGAGTGGGTTGGAGAAAGCTGGTCGGCGGCCTATGCTCCATTGGTAGTAACAGGCGTAAGTAAGTAAGTAAGTAATTTCTTTGGGTGGTTAATGACTCATATATTAGTAGAGTGTTTCATGAATTAGTAACAAACCAGCAAGAAATATTATGTTGTTTAGTCCTCAGTAAAAACTGAATTTCACCTACTAAGATTGTGTCAGTGTGTAGTTATTTAAACACAGTAAATGAATGACACTAAGATGGATATTTATGCTACATTATTTAGACTGGAACGAACTAGATTTGTGTGATCAGATTGTTCGAAATGTATTGAGCTAATATATCATCACATAGTTCTGATAATCTTCGTCTTCTTACTACACTATTGAAGTTTATCAAAAGGACTAATTACTTTGAACTAGATTTGATTAAATAATCATAAATACAAATTTACGGAATGATAGAAGGTGACTAATATAGTCAAATAAATATGATAAATGAAAAACAGACACTACTTTATTTAACATTTACACTACCTATTCACATTTTTCTATTTTGAGGAGTATATACTGATGTAACAGCATATCTTTCATCATTATAATGAATAAAATCGATTTAGCTGTTAGTAACTTTTCTTTTTTTCAGCGGTTACAAACAAAGTCTACCGATAAATTAAAAGGAAATAACACCAGATACATCTCTTTTTTCAAAGATTCGAAAAGTGAATTACTAAGATACTTACTTATTTAAGTCTGTACCCCCTCATGGAGGAGCATAGACCACCCACCAGCATTCTCCGTCCAACACTGTCTTCAACAATCCTTTCTAGTTAACAATCATCCTCTTCATATATCCTTCTGTTTCCTAAAGTAATGTGTTCTTTGGTCTTTTTCTTTTCCGCTTCCCTTCACCATTAAATGTTAGGGATTGCCTCATGATGCAGTTTGATGTTTTCTTTCCTATCCACTTCTAATATTTTTTCCTAATTTCCTGTTCAGCTGGAAGCTGGTACGTGTTCTCCCATGAAGGGCTGTTGCTGATGGTATCCGGCCAATGAATGTTGAGTATTTTGCGTAGACAACTGTTTATAAATACTTGTACCTTCTTGACGGTAGATGAAGTAGTTCTCCACATTTCAGCTCCGTACAGTAGAGCTGACTGTTTTGACGTTCGTATTGAAGATTCTCACTTGAGAATTAGTTGAGAGTTGTTTTGAGTTCCATATGTTCTCTAATTTTAGGAATGTTGTCCTTGCTTTGCCAATCCTCGCCTTTAAATCTATATCAGATCCTGCTCGTTCATCAGTGATGTTGCTGATCAGGTACGTGAAAGCTTCAATCTTTTCCAGAGTTTCGACCTCAAGTGTGATTGGCTTGGAGTTCTCTGTGTTGTATTTGAGAATCTCGCCTTTTCTTTTGTGTATGTTGAGGGCTTTTGATGCAAAAGTTACTGCTACATTTGTTGTCTTCATCTGTAATTATTCGTGTGTATTGAATAGGAGGGCAATTACTAAGATAGCTTAAATAAATAAATCTAAACGTATTAACTTATTCTAATAACTTCGAATTTATCTTGTAGTATCAGTTTATATGTTAAGCCCATATACCTTATTCTAGTTGCTGGCCAAGCCAATTCGCCTATCCATTATGAGTCATATTTTGATCTTGTTAATCATTTGCTTATTAACCTTGGCTATACTTTTATATGAGCATATATGTGTACACTTCGTATCTTATTCATCGTATGTCTGTCACTCATTTTTGTCCGACTATAAATGTTGATTAACGCTTGCTTAAATCGAGTTGGCTTCTCCGCCATCTCCAATACGCATTATCTTTCGCTTCACTCTCGAGTTGGCTTCCCAGCCTATCTCCATTGCGCATGATCTTTGCTTCGTTCCGCTCTCATCTATTCACCTCATCACTCTGATTCCCTGGCCAGACTAATGAGTGTAGAAATTATATGTATTCTAAATCCATTCTCTTATTTGACGCATTTAACTCCGTTGTTCACCAACGCGGAATAAAGTCATTTATTATATACGAGTATAGACAGAATCAGATTTACGCCGACAACATAATTGGATACCTCGCCGTACGAGCACGACGCCACAACAAAATTGGAGGCCTCGCCGAACGAGCATGACGCTACAGAATTGGATGTCTCGCCGAACGAACCCGGACCAGAATCGACAACCTCTACGTACGAACTCACAACATAATTGGCGACCGCAACGAGCGACCGCATATCAAAAATGGAACGGCCGACGACATATTCCGTTATGATTCGAATAATCATCATATGCTCATTATTACAATAATGTCATATCATCTAACGTGGAATTATTATTTTTGTTCGTATTGACATTAAACTATGACATGTACGCAGTCAAATCACTAATCGAACAAATCATAATTATATGGACATTACACGTTATGATATTCGAAACTCACTGGATTATTTTTATTATCCAATGACGTAAAATTTTGCTGATTTAGGTGAGTTCGTTCCAATTTTTTCTTTTTCATGTCATTTTCGGTCTAATATTACACTCTATCATAGACATAAGTTTGGAGTCATACTCCCGATAGTAGGAACTTATGCTATCGATATACAATTAATGTTCATTCATTTCATTGGTACGCAGCAATCGTCGTCTCCTACACTTTCAGCGACAACCTAGACCGAACTTCCGCAATTTTTGTTTCACGATGATCCCTACTTTAATGTCTATACACAAATCAAGTATTTGACGCCGCATTACCAGCCGATTAGTAATGATTATGTTCATATTATCTATTCATCGACATGTAAATCTGAATGCTGCATCATCTATTACGCATCAAAAATATTTGGTTACTGCATTTAGTATTCTATTTCCATTGCATGGTATACAAGAACATAGAGTTTACAGCTGGTCTCTCAAAGATACACTCTTGTTCATCACATCCAAGTCAGTCTCACTCGCCGTCATCGATAATCATATGTATTGGTATTTTTGTTATGCCTTAATACGGTTTCGTAACAAACGAGGTTGAGCGCATATCCCTCTAACTACACAAACCACGATAGGCTGCATGACCATAAAGGAATACGACTCCGCATATCTCGTTTCATCAGTCACTATCCTGTTCCTCTGGTCATTCTACTAATACATATTTAACGATAACTCAACGCAAGCGACAACGCACACTGACCTCGCATTTTATTATCATTATCAGTACAGCAATGAATATCAACCGTTGATGCAGTCATCATCCTACGACTCGATTATTTTTACCACACACGAACTCCAGGTATGCGAATTCGAATCTACTAATCGCTGATCGATGCTATTTACTCTACTGCGGCTTATCAGAACATATTTCACTGTTATTTATCGTCATATTTAGTCGGCACCATAGACCAATTTCTATTATATTCTACATTACTTATTTCCACGATTTATTACGCTGTCATACCTATTAACGATTTATTACTCTATTTTCACGATATTTCGAATAGCTCATACGAACCTGTTATTTTATCATCCAGACAGTCACGACATAAATGCAGGTTAACTTTTTTGTACGCTTACTGATGTATTCATAATCACATTTTAGCATTTCAATTTTTGTCCGCATCTTTGACGATATTCATGCACATTTTTACACAAGTATGACACTTTCGTTTAATACGCTCACCCGTCACATGACACCGTAATTTTTCAGGTATTGTACCATTTTTTTTCCACATTTTGACGTTATTCATATACCACTTGAGTGTTATTTTTCGAAAACAGACATTTTTTTATAAATGTGCTATTTTCTACAAGGGGGCTATGTAGTATCGGTGTATATGTTAAGCCCATATACCTTATTCTAGTTGCTGGCCAAGCCAATTCGCCTATCCATTATGAGTCATATTTTGATCTTGTTAATCATTTGCTTATTAACCTTGGCTATACTTTTATATGAGCATATATGTGTACACTTCGTATCTTATTCATCGTATGTCTGTCACTCATTTTTGTCCGACTATAAATGTTGATTAACGCTTGCTTAAATCGAGTTGGCTTCTCCGCCATCTCCAATACGCATTATCTTTCGCTTCACTCTCGAGTTGGCTTACCAGCCATCTCCCATGCATGTCATTTTTACTTCGCTCGCTAACATTTGCTCATGTGCTCACTGCCTTCTAACCTGTTATTTGTCAATAAAAATGTAGTTGCCGCTTCCCTTTGTCTTCTGATATTATACACCGTTCAGATTGATATAATAACGGTTATCGAGACTATCGATTAACGAAGCACGCCACTACAATCTTATTTAAAATTTCTCTTTAATATTACTGTTGATTAATTCATTTTTCTAGGTTTTATTTTAAAATCATGTCATTTACTTGAAAGTGGATAGGACACGCATTGAGGAAATCACCAAATTGCGTCACAATGCAAACCCTCACATGAAATCCTGAAGGCCAATTGAGAAGAGGAAGACCAAAGAACACATTACGACGAGAAATGGAAACAGACATGAAAAGAATGAACAAATATTGGATAGAACTAGAAAGGAAGGTCCAGGACAGAGTGGATTGGAGAATGGTGGTCGGCGGACTATGCTCCATTGAGAATAACAGGCGTAAGTAAGTAAGTAATCATTAGTTTATATCTGGCTATTAGATTTATTTGATTTCATTTACATTCTATTTTATTGAACAGTAACCCCTCAAGTTACTTAACTGATGGTAATAATAATAATAATACTCATTTACCAAATATAAGTCTGTTTATTTGGCTCTGAGCCATACAGTTTGTCTGAGGACTAGCCTTTCTCTAACTAATGACCTAAACTGAATAAGATTAAAATATAAGAATTCAAAGAAATTATTTATATAAAGCATAAGGTATAGTTAGTTACACAATAAACTATAATTAATACAAACAGAGCAAAGCAGTTAACACTTAAAAGGAGCTGACTAATAAGTTACACTGCATTAATTAGGGTCTATACAAATCGGATGACAATGAGTTTATTGTAAACAAATCGAACAGTTTATGTAGTATAAGGAAAATTTGAAAAAAAATCCCTGAAGTTATGGCAGTAAAACTAGGCGATTCTATAGTTAGGGTACATTTCAAAACCTTATTTATCACTTGATCTATTATTGTTTTCATGGTTGGGTGATAAACTATTATGAAATACAAGAAATTTATTCTTCAATCTATCTGCAATCGATTCACGATGTTTATCCACTAAATATCCAGCATATTGAAGACTTTGTTCATGCCATATATCCGTAATAGTAAGTGGTGTTTGTTTAGTATTTATTACTGGAGTAATCTCATCTTTACCTTTTGTACGTAATAAACCTTCCCAATGTTTATGTTCAGGTGGATAAATATTACACCATTCACCAGAATAACCAGTCCAACATTGACATTCAATTATAATATCTACATGTTTTTTTTTTCTAAGCCAAATTTTTGTACAATCACCAAACATACAATGTGCTGTACCTGATCGACATGGTTTAATTATAGTCTCATCTGGTTCGTAGGATACATGATATGGTCTAAAATGTTAAAATATAATGAAGGATAAATTATGGAATTTTATAAGTGTATCAATAATACGATAATGGATAGAAGAAATTCGGTCAGTAGTATGTCTTACCGGTCAGAAATTATGATTTAGGTTGATTGTTTAACATTGAGAAGTTTAGCATTTTATTAGACTTTTCATTGATCAAGAGCAAGATAGTCCGGATTTTTCATGAATAACATAAAAAAGTCACAGATGTATGTTTTTTTAATCACACTCAATTTTATGTGAAGCTAATGAATACATATATTCAGAAGGGGTTTTGTGGAGATTTCAGTTTTTTCATAGTTGAAATCATGAGTCAATTGAAGCTAGACCACAATGGATAATCTGGAAGCACTGAACGACCGATTTGTCCTATTATACGGCTCCCGATTCGAACCCAAATCCTACCAGTCTCGCGCCAGAGCACTTAACCGATTGACTCATGCTTTCAACTATGAAAATACTGAATTCTCCACAAAACCCCTTCTGATTATAATCAAATGCTCACTAGTGACTGACTTCAAGATATATATATCATGAAGTTCTAGTGGGAAGCAGTGAGCAGTGGACTTCAACCTCGTCTGTTGTGAGATAACAACTCCCTGAAGACAATTGATGAATGGTTGCTTAATTTCGTGGATCAGCTAGAAATTAACAGCGTTGGATGCTGGCCGACTCAGTGGTCCATCGGTGAAGGGCTCTAGCGCGCGACTGGTAGGTCCTGGGTTCGAATCTCGCGAGTGTGGATTGTGGATGTGTACTGCTGAGGAGTTTCATAAAAGGACGAAACGGCCGTCCAGTGTCTCCAGGTTTTCCATGGTGGATTAGCTTAAATTGACTCGTGATTTCAATTATGGATATATATATATATATATATATATATATATATATATATATATATATGAGCATATATGTGTACACTTCGTATATATATATATATATATATATATATATATATATATATTCATCATCTTTAGAAAGTCTGTTTCCATCATTTTTATAACAAGAGGAACATTTCAAACATCCTATAGCTACCTGATTCAAGAAGGAATGTGTCATGAACTGTAAAAAAGAGAATAGAAGTAGATAAATCTTCTAGTATATCTTCCAGTGTAAATACATTTAATCTGTGTAGGTTAGTGCAAGAAAAGGTTAAATTGTGTTAATCGTTTAATGAGTAAAACTAATTGCATTTTGTTAATAGAAAAATTATATGTCGTCTGTGAACTCTCTGGAAGTGGACAGGACATATATTGAGGAAATCATCCAACTGCGTCACAAGACAAGCCCTCACATGGAATCCTGAAGGCCAAAGTAGACGAGGTAGACCAAAGAACACATTTCGCCGAGAAATGGAGACATAAATGAAAAGAATGAACAAAAATTGGACAGAATTAAAAAGGAAGGTCCAGGACAGAGTGGGTTGGAGAATGCTGGTCGGCTGCCTATGCTCCATTGGGAGTAACAGGAGTAAGTAAGTAAGTAAGTAGGTAAGTGTGAACTCTCAGAATCAGTCACAGTGGTGTTAATACATTCACTCTTTATGTTACTCTAGATCTTAGGTTACATTATCCCTTCAAATGTACGTTTTTATTCTGTCTTGTACTATCTTTTCAGTATTTAGTGTTTCTCATTATCATTGTAATGGCATTATTTCGATTCTTTCACAATTTATCTCTTTAATGTCATTTCGTCGAACTGATGTGGTATGAGAACTTGATCCGACACACATTTAAATCATAATTTACTTTGATAATGACTGACTGTTTTAATATTTGTTCAAGAAACTTCAAATTATTTACCTTATTCTGTTAAACACTAGTGTAGTATCGGTTTATATGTTAAGCCCATAAGCCACATTATAGCTTCAGGATAAGCCAATTTACCTATTCATCATGAGTCCAGTTTTCACCTTGTTGATTATTCACTAATTAACCCCGACTATTTTTTATATGAGCGAAGGTGTGTGTATACTTTTTATCTTATTCATCACATGTCTGTAACTTATTCTTGTCTGACTATAAATATTGATTAACGCTTGATAAAAGTGAGTTGGCTTACCTCCACCTCCAATGCATGTCATTTTTGTTTCTCTCACTGATATCTACTCATGTGCTTATAACTTTCTGACCTGCGTCATTTATCAATAAAAATGTAGTTGCCGCTTCTCTCTGCCTTCTGATTTTATGCACCGTTAAGATTGGTATTATAACGGTTATCGATGTGAACGATTAACGAAGCACGGCACTCCATTAGAATGCTCATAATAGATATGACATGATATTGAGAATTATTAATACGACTTACATCTCTACACGTAATATGATTTTTAATCTTCTTCCGTGTAGTAAATTACCGATACAGTTTCTAATACATGTCTACTATCAACTACAAAAGTTGATATGCTGATGCTGATCGTAAATGGAATGTTCTAGAAAAAAACCGACTTTTCAAATAAGATTAATATAAGTACGTTGATTATGTATGTAATCTAATGTATTCACAAGAAAATATAATAGTTATGCTTTCAAATTATCATTAAGTGTTATAGCATATTAAGGTTCATAAGATTTTTCATAGTTGAAAGCATGAGTCAATTGAAGCTAGACCACCATGGAAAACCTGGAAACACTGGACGAAACGGGCGTCCAGTGTTTCCAGGTTTTCCATGGTGGTCTAGCTTCAATTGACTCATGCTTTCAACTATGAAAAATACTAAATCTCCACAGAACCCCTTCTGATAGTTCATAAGATTGTTATGCTTTGAATCAAATCAAATTGAGAATTGTCACATATATGTATTTTGACCAATTGATTAGTGTTAAAACACATGTTAACAATCTTTATGTATGATTCTATACAGATAATTAGTCACGATCTATTTTGATTTTAATATTCCACTCCCATAACCAAATAGACGATGATAACAGTATATAATGATAAGCAATTTTTAACTAATGAAAATCTCAACATGGTTTGTATAATTTTTCTTCTTTAGCTTTTTTTTAGCGAGTTGGTTTTCTACGGGCAGCATTATTGATGAAAACGGTGGATCAGATGCAGATATGAGGACGAGGATCGGCAAAGCAAGAACAGCATATTTACATCTGGAACTCAAAACAATTATCAACCAACACGAAGATCAGAATTTTCAATGCAAATGTCAAGACAGTTCTACTATATGGGGCGGAGATGTGGAGAACTACGAAAGCCATCATCCAGAAGATACATGTGTTTATTAACAGTTGTCTACGCAAGACACTTCGGATCCGTTGGCCAGATACTATCAGCAACAAGTTACTGTAGGAGACAACAAACCAGATTCTAGCGGAGGAAGAAATCAGGAAGAAGCACTGGAAGTGGATTGGGCACATATTGAGGAAATCACCTGATCGCTTCACAAGACAAGCCCTCACATGAAATGTTGAAGGTCGTTGGAGAAGAGGAAGACCAAAGAACTCATTACTCAGAGAAATGGAGACAGACATGAGAAGAATGAACAAAAGTTGGATAGAACTAGAAAGGAAGGCAGAGTGGGTTGAAGAATGCTGGTCGGTGGCCTATGCTCGATTGGGAGTAACAGGCGTATGTAATAATAATAAGTAAGAAAGTTTCAACATAGTGGGATTCTGTTGATCATGATATCCTATCTTATATTTGAGGAACTGACTTAGAATTTGATCTTTAATAAACTTTTGATTTATTTATGATATTACTTTACCATATGAATGTTGAATAGTATTCTTCATGAAGGTTAGGGGCGGCTAAACCAAAACGTGGCATCAGAGCTTGAAGTCACTAACTTCTAGTCTGAGCCATGTTAGTAGATGCAGACTACTTGGTTGGGGTCCGCGTGACTATCGTAACCAATGGTTGGAGACTCTAGATGACATATCTCAGAATCGATCACAATGGCGCAGGTGCATACACTCTTTATCCTTCCTTAAACCTTGAGATTAAAATTGCTTCATAACTTTGATCCTTCCCATACTATATTCTTATAAACAACCTTTTTTTTAATATATTGCCACCAGTAAATTAACTACTATGAATTCTCTGTTCATCTTGTTGTGCTAACAAGGTAAGTTTACTTGGACCGATGAATATATGCGCCTTGTCCTACGTTATAGCTGACTGACTTCTCAAAAATTGAACATAACGAATTTCGTTAAAAATCATTTAGTGAAATGTTTAATTTTATGCTATGGAATAACAATCAAATTCGAATATTTAAAGGTAGAGAAAGAACGAATTTATCTGTATCAAGCGGGCTGTCTTGAAGACATATCACCTCATATATCTCAACGCTCGATACAACCATTAAACTAAATCATAAGCCATATAGGTTCAAGTGATGTTTTAATTAGGCCTCTCTAAGCTTTATTTCAGACTACTATTATGCTGTCTATTATTACAAACGTCGAAATTAACGAATGAGTCTTAGTAACTATAGTTGGTTACCTTTCACAACCTCATCAAGAAATTTATTATTTTTACTCATTACTTTATTAATATCCAATAGAAAGTGTTGAATTGTTTACTGAATTATATCGCATAGAGGGACTAGTAAACGTAGGCAGATGGTCATTAGCTCCCTGAATAGTTCGCTAGTAGCATTCTGGTCTGTGCAACTGAAAGACATAGGTTCATATCTCATACTGAGAATCAGTTCCTTCAAAACTTCAGATACTTCCATCCGATGATTGTCAATTAGCATAAAACCAAGTTCCAAGGTGTACTGCCAATTACTTCTATCCACCTGAACTCACACCAATTACTTTATAGATCGATAAACAACTTGTTCTTATTTAACACTTCGTTATCTTTGGTCAAATAAATTACTTTACAATTAAAATTATCACTGTATCGTCAGATGATTAAGGTGCCATACATTTTATCAACTGATAAAATATTATTATAGGGTGATAGACAAAACTTCAAAGAACCCAGCGCCATGAAAGATCATCATATATTGCCATTGATTTGCAACTGAGTTACTTCCAATGTAAATGAAAACAACTAATTGGGAAACATTTCTAAGCAATCTCATACAATGAATAAAAAACTGCTCAATGAACCCTATTTTCCAATTAAGTGTTCAGCTATAGTTAGGTCGTAAAGAAAATTATCTTCAAATTGTACAAGTGTTGTATCAAGTGAGCAATAATAAATACAGCTTACTAAGATACTTCATTACTTATCACAGAAGGTTTAACGACCTTGACTCGAAAAAGTCGAAAACTCCTTTATCTTACCTACCTTCCAAAGTATATCTGTTTATCTTCATTCATCTTGTCCTGAGAATTTTGTGAAAGTATGGAATTGTAACTAATATATGAAGTGATGTCTAAGAACAATATGTGTTTTATGAAAGTTGACACCTGTTTTTTCGGGGGTCTTTTCAGTTGACTGTAGTTGTATTGTAGCCTTAGCTGAAGATTTCTAATTCTTAGGCTTGATCAAATTTTACAAATCACTCTTAAAATATAGCTATCAGGTTTAAAAATTTTTTTAAGATGGTATCATTTTATTTACAACGAAAATAAATATGATCTATAAAGTTTGTTGGTACTTATCAACAGTACACATTTACAACCTCAAGAAAAATAACGATTAAAAACTCATGGTAAGCAAAGATAGATAGTGGCTAGTAGTGGAATCCAGGAAGCGCGTTTCGTCTTATTTGGGACTCATCAGCTGGATATACCTGCATCTCAGATTTGATGTTCACTGTGGGACTCCAACCCAGTACCTTTCGCTTCAAACGTCATTGTGTTATCCACTCTCTGTAAGATATGAATGTGAGGACATTAGATTCATTTCGTTAATGACTTATATCTCCATTTCACTGGTTAACAATGTTTAAAGTGTAAAATATCCTCGTACACACGGACATCTACTAAATCGACTGCCCTATGACTCGTTCATATCATTTAAACAAGTTTTCATTTGAAATATGAAGAGTGAAATTTTGTAACATTCTGTAATTTATCAGGTTTAAAAGAATAGTAATTGTGATACAATCATTTTGTGCCATCACGTATCCCTGTTAAATTTAGACATTAAAGTAGGTGGTTATAATGAAACTTGATCGATTGAATTGGACCAGTAATATGAACTAGACAATATCACATTGGTTAATATTCGATTGTTATTCATAACGATCAGTTAAAACTTTTGAATGTTTGAAGATAAACTTTAGCGAACCCTGGATCTCAATTTCATTTTAATTGACATTGGTCAGCCAGATGTACATGCAATCTAAAAAGATATGATACTTCCTGTGGAATTCCGACTTCACATCACTCAGGTTCAAAGTCTAATATGTGATCAGACCTCATCTGATGTCTTGTCAACGAAATATTTCGATTGATTCATTGTCATTTTATTTATACCAGTGAGCACAATACAACCTGATCGATACAAGTTTATCAACACCAAAGAATCATTACAATCGGCACTGTTCGATGATCACTTAATCTACTTAGAACTGGCTATCTGGAAATGATACCTAATAATTATTTGATCAATAAACTACAGTTTTAAACTCAATTTTTACACAAGTTTTACCCAACTCAAAATAGTCATATACGTGAAAATGTTCAATAGATTATAAGGAAGAATAAGTAGTAATAGTAGTAGTAGTATATTAAACTAACTTGGCATTTGTTAATAATCCAGTTTGAACAATACACAATAATAAATGATACCAATGTAATTTATAATGAAGTAACATCATATCACAATGATTGAAATGAAAATCAGATAAGTGAATTAGCTATATATTTATATACAATTTAGATAATGAAAAATTCATGTATCCATGTACTGGATTTTGTCAATTACATTTTGTATAATTGATGGGTAAGTATGTTCAAGTTTATGAATTTGATTCTATTAATTTACTACTGATTTAAGTAATAACTTTTTGTTCTATTAATAATTCAATGAAATTGACCATTTAAATATAATATAGTCAATTGAATAGAATTAATAAACATGTTTATTGTATTCAGAGTATAAGTTGATAATGATTCGTAATTTTGTAAATTAATGGTATGGTAAATTTGAAGTTTGCGTTACAAAAATATGGTATCTAATACAAAGTATTTAGATATTTTCAAAGTTGAAATTATCAGTCAATTGAAGCTAGACCACCATGGAAAACCTGGAAGCACCGAACGGCCGTTTCGTCCTATTATGGGATTCCTCAGCAGTGAGCATTCACGATCCCGCACTCGCGAGATTAGAACCCAGGACCTACCAGTCTTGCGCTAGAGCATTTAACTGATAGATTACTGAACAGGCATCCAACGGTGTTGATGTCTAACCTCAACCAATCCACTTACTTGTTTATTTAATTAATAAAAGATACTCAAATTATTTACACTTTATCAAAACTGAATATCACCTAAGTATACAAAAACCGATTAAAATAAACTTAAGAACTATTTTAACAGTTAAAGTATTCAATTGATTGAGGGAAATACTGAGTTGATAACTTGAGAAAGGAGTTAATTTTATTCCTTATATAGGAACAATCAGAACAATAACGGGGCGGACATGCATACATATACCAAATAATTCTTTTTGAACCTAGCACACAACAATCCTGTCATACACTGTCTCATCACCCTTGGCAGATCACGCAACCCGAAGTTTACGAGAAAACCATCAGGGTATACGACAGGCTAGGTATCCCAATTTGATTCCTTACTTATTTCATACATAGTTATATGTACCATTGGAAAGAAACTTTGGTTATTACAGATAGTTACTATTTACAACTTAAATAAACTGATGAGATCATTAGTTTAATATGAATCAACATATTTACTCTTTCAAGTCTAAGTGTGATTCATTATTTAGCCATATTTTTCTTACACAAATTATTATTATTTTTTAATTATCAGAATCATCATATTGAATACCACATTCATTGAATATCATACTATGTAAAAAACAGAATGTGATATTAGATGTAGCAACTATATAAAACTGAATACATTCCATTGTATTAGACGAAATTATTACCATCTAATTAGATCATAAAATGTTATGAATGCAAAAAATAACATTTTAAAGATTACCGCTTCTAGGTTTTCTATGGTGGTCTAACTTCAATTGATTCATGATCTCAACTATTAAAAATTACTATAATATTCACAAAAAATCATTCTGATACTAATAAACATATGCTCACTAGTGACTAGCTTCAAAAGGTATTTCTTAGAGTTCTAGTGAGAAGCAGTGACCAGTGGAGTTCAACTAGATCTGTTGTGAGATAGTGACTCATTGAAGGCAATGGTGGATGTGTCGCTCAATTTCGTGGATCGATTAAATTTAGAGATTAACACCGTTGGATGACGGTTCAATGGTCTAGAGATTAAGCGCTCGAATGCGAGACTGATTGGTCCTGGATTTGAATTTCATGAAGCGAGATGGTGGATGAGCATTGCTGAAGAGTTCCATAATAGGACTAAACGGTCGTTCAGTTATTCCAGGTTTTCCATAGTGGTCTACATTCAATTGATTCATGATTTCAACTATGAAAATACTGAAATCTCTACAAAACCCCTTTTGAAAAATAAAAGAGTTCATAGTTAAAAAGATATAAATCTTTGATTTATTAAAACTATGCAACATATTTTTAGCTTATAATTTCAGTAACATTCAAGGGTAACTTGAATCAGTTTATCTTTTCTCTTTTTTAATGAATCTTAAAAAATATTTTGTTTCTCTTTAATTACTTGCTGTTTAGATAAATTAGATTCTGAATAATTTATATAGAAATTTTATCATACATATTATTTTATAAAGATGAATTAAGTAGGTTATTAAGTACTTAGATCTAGTCGGTACTAGTGTGATGTAGGCTATTTATATCTATATAAGTAGTATATATCATGAGTCAGGAATAGAGTATCTGACTGCAGAAGATTGAGAAATTGGAGAAGAGAGGAACTGAGATCAGAAAGCAATTGGTGTGAAAATCCAGGAATAATGAAGTCTGAGACAATTAATGAACATTTTGCGAATGAAGTATTGAAGTATAGTTTTTCTATTTTATCAAGTAACTTCGTAATTTGTGCTAAATTTATAGTTGGTTGTCCTCACCTGCATCCTTTTTCACCACACCAGGAGTAGGTTTTTGATATGATCAGTTTGGACGGAAAGAAACATTGCTTTTTGTCTCTAATCGTCTATAATAATCAAGTACAATCAATATAACTAAGAGATAAGTTTTTTAAATCAGGTGGTATAACTTTGATTTTTCCAATGTCTCTCTAGGTACGAGTATATATTAAAAAGAGTAGAGTTATTAAAACACCTCTCATAAGTGATTGATTTCATACTCTGTTAATACGGAAATTAGGAATAGAGAATATTCGTAAGTTACTTTCATTTAATCATCGGTGTCTTCGAGGCATTAGTCGTATATTTTGAGACTACGACGTAAGCAATTTCTGGGTTAGAAATAGAGTATTAGGTTAAGATTGGAAATCGATTGATGTGATAGTGAATTTTCATCAGCTGAGATGGTTGGAAAATGTATCCTCAACCACCATCTACCTCGACAGATGACTTCGTCTAATATAGGTGTAGACTGAGAGGATTTTAAGGGTGGCCAAACCACAACATGTCATCAGTCTGTGAAGATATTGACAGTTGAACAGATCCATATTGCAGGTGTAGACCAACTTATTACGACCACCATGATTATCGTGACCATCAGTTAGAGACTTTAAATGACATGTTTCAAACTCATTTACGATGGTGTAAGTACATGCGTTCTTTGTCTTCCTCAAATCCAAAGATTCGGAATTCCCCATAACTATATTTTGTGTTTTCATTTCACTAATTTATACATCCTGGATTCGTATCTTCGATATCTTATCTTTCCTTAATTTTAATTACGTCTAATTTTTGTCTAACCTTCAATTAATTTACTTAATAGACAATATTATCTGAACGGTAACCATTCATTTATATATTTGTATTATTATGATCACTATCATGTCTGTATGATCATGTATGTTTGATCAAATGTGACAGCCTACATACATATCTCTCACTAACTTAAATGTTAGTCACTTAAATATCGCTCGATGAATCGTCCTCCTTCCCATATATGTATATATGTCTTTGAATATTAATAACTGACTTTGCCTTGCTTCGATTCTATCCGATTGGATTCGATTAGACTCCGTCTCTTTATTCGCTTGCTCGCGTGCGTTAGCCTCTCTGCTCAAATTCTCTTGGTGTTCTAGTCACTTTGTTGTCTGTGCTATCCAATACAATACAAAAACGTAATTGCCACTTTATATTGTCTCCTGAATTGATATATAGCTTTGGAATTTATTTAATGACGGTTATTAGGGTGATTAATAAACGAAACCTAAGGAATTATCATGAGGCCAAGGCATTACAACCCCTATTATTGTGGGATTTGGCCTGACAATTTGATTTTTGAGTTCTAATGGCTTATGACAACTTTAACCGACGTACACAGGTACCAGATTCTTCGTTGCAGTAATATGAATAACTGTCAACATGGGATTGGACTGATCGTTTTCCATAACTAAAGCTGTCAATCTTTGTACATTTATTTTGTTTGACAATTTCTTTGACATTGTTTCTTATCTTTCAATTATTGAGAAGCTGAGTCCTCATTAACTAATGAATTAGTTCATTAGTTGTTCACATCCATGGATATAGGCGAAGATTTGTAATTAAGTTTAACGGCTAGTTGGTATTCAAGTAGATAAAGATGGAGAGAGTTTGAAATTTGTTTAATGTAGTATTTCACTTCGTTACCATGAATGATAAATATTAACTTTACTTATAGCGGATTTAGTGTGTTTAATTTGGATATCTCCATTTAAAATTACTAGAATTCATACTCGAACTGAATTACTTTGATGTAAAGCGAAGTTATGAAATGGAGAATTTGAACAAGTTGATTTCAGTTAATAAAACAATTATGATCTAGCATGTGTATAATGTTATTATAACACCTTAAAAGTTGTAATACAATACTGGATTGTATATGGCCAAAGTGATTATCTGTTAATGAGATCAGTTACTTAATTCTGACTAGTTAGATTTCAGAAGATCAGATTATTCACTAATTGAGTATATGAATAATATTAAGGAATCAATATTAACATTTATTTACAAAGTATTCAACTAGTATAGTATGACTGAATTACTGATCTTACTTACTTACGCCTGTTATCCCTCATAGAGGAGTATGGGCAGCACACCACCAATCTTCATGCAACTCTGTGGTGGGCAATCCTTTCCAGTTCTTTCCAGTTGTTACTGATCATTTAGCAAATAATCAATTAATAATGAAAGTAATAAGTTAAAATGTAACTATGACTTGAATATTGTCCTATTTGTAAGTTATCATCCTGTTAGGGATGTCAGATCCCCAGAACTCACTTGATAAATGACTTATTTTTGTGATTTTATTTTCAAAATTTGAATTTCCCTGCTTTCGCGCCAAAAGCGCTCTTTTCACCTTCACGTTGCATTTCCCACTCGTTCAAATTTTAAACGCTATTGGTCCGTTGTATCTTTTAGTATGCTATTTTGTAACGTTTCCCAAGGACAGTTTATGCTGTATATATACGTTGAATTTCTTACTATTGTGATCGCTTGTGCATCCGGTTGCTTACGGAATATATTTCCCCCCTTTCGTCTTGAACTCCTCACTCTAGTTAGCGAGACCTAGGATAGCCTATCGTGTTACTGTGTCATTGACCTTCGTTCCGTTTTCCAAGTAAGGAGAAATCGTAATTAGCATCAAGCATATCACAGCCAAATGTATTTTCACCTCATTGTTGAAGCTTATATTGAGACTCAAACTTTATATCCTCCAGTTGAAACATTAGTTAGTTATTTTGATGAAGTTTTGT